CTCAACTATTTTTCTTCACTTGGCAACTCTCCTTCTTCCTTTTAAATCATGTGTGTTTAAACTGAAAGCTTTAGATAGGGAAAGGAAAATACTGATTCACATACCTGTATTTTTAACACTTGAAATTGGAAGTAAAGGTGTTGGCAGTGGTAGAGGAGAGACAGTCACCAATGAAGCAGATTTTACTTGTAAGGGATCTGTCACATCCTGTTTGCTTTCAACCCTGGTAATTGGTGGGATGACTGCAGTACTTGCAATATTTGGAAGACCTTCAGCAGCTGCTTGTCTTTCTTTAGCCGGTGATTTTTCTAATTTAGCTATTGCATCATTCGAATCAGACCTTTTCTGCTGAGAGGCAGCACCCGAACTGGACGATTTAAGCTCGCTTAGATTCGATTCTTTCAATTTCATTAGAATGATGCTTTGGTTTTCGTTAGATTTCGGCAGTTCAATAATATCTAACGCTGCCATGAGATTGCTTAACTTTTTTCCCTTCAAAAACGCACGATAGTGTTTCTCAAAAGTTCTCCCAAACTTTTGCTTGTACTCACTCTTGAATTTGGAAATATCCAAACAATGGCCGTCACAAGACCGTAAAACTTCAACAACCTCTTTCTTCAGTTGCTCCATTGTTATTAGCTTATCGGTCGATTTCGGACCACTCGCCATAGCTGTACACCACGACGAAGTAAGTTAAGCAATGGCAAAACCTGACAACTACACTACCAAATCGTGCACAAATTGATCATTCGTTCCACCGGTTCCCCAAAACTTTCCGTGTCAACGACTAGCAGGTTCGACGGCGACATGTTCTGCCAAAGCCTCGCCGTAAACTAAAGGTAAGATCTTGCATGACGATGCTAAAGTTACCGGTCAAAATCGCAACACGTCTTATTTTTTAATGAAACAAAGGTGTCACTTTTTTTGCAACCTTGCTCACCCAATGAAAACACAGGAATAATTGACATAGTTTTTCCAAGAAACCGCTACAAACGCACAACGCACGAGGTTTCCGAGAAATATGAGTTCTACCAGGCGTTCCTTCTTGCCTTAATTGTTCTCCATTTCCTCGTTCCTAGTCTTTTTCAAACGGAACAAATGTAGCCAGTGCAAGCCAGTGCAAGCCAGTGCAAGCCCGTGAAAGACAGTGCAAGACAGTGCAAGTCTTTGGACAAGACTAAAATGGCGAATAATAGTAGCGGTGTCCTGAAATAGTTTATTTCCTGTACGTTAGGAAATGGGAAGAAACTGAGCGCCATTATAATAGTGGATAGTGAAGAGAGAAATGTGAAGGTAGTTGCTTTTAGTTTCTCGGCATGTGAAAATTTCATATAGGCTCAAGTAGAGTACGGTGAGAGACTTGGTTTGTTCATAATGGTTCAACTTTAGCTCTCTTCAACATTGAATTTGAAGGGGATGCAACTTCCATAGATAAGGTCTAGAACTCTGAAGGAACTAAGTGCCTGAAAAATGTTTCAAAATTATTGCTGACATTTTCTATAAAATAACTTTTAACGGAATGCGGGGGGACAAAGACATTACTAATTTCATTTAATGAAACTTTATTTTGAAATTAATTAATTTATTGTAAT